GAGATGATAAGGCGATTGTGGGGCATAATTGTATTTGAAATCGTGCGCATTCTCTCATCTTGCCTATGAGAAACCTTTATTTTAGCCGCAGTATTGCGTTCAAGTATCTAGTGGTTGGTTTTAACATTTTGGTCGTAGGACTTAGAGCGCTATTATGCAAAGAGAAATGCGATTTTAGGCCGATTGAAGAGGGCGTGTGCTAAATAATACTTCCTTCGCACTAAGCGATGTACAGTAGAGAAATCTCTTGTGCTCGTCAGAAATTGCATTCATATCTTTTAATGTTAAACTACATTTTTGACTAACCTTTAACAAAAGCATCAGCTTCACCTCTTTTAAAGTTTTTAGTCACTTTGCAAATTATGATTTTTATTTAATCTATATGCAAGGAAACACGTTTTCACATTTGATTACTATTCTATATCCTTATAGACAGACCCACAAGCGTGTCTTTACCTCATGTAATCTTTTCCGTCCAATTTTGAGAAATGTTAGCCGAAACTGCGGGCTAAATCTTAATCCATTTTTTTTACAAATGCTAAAAATAAGTGGATATTTTGGGATTAATTTTCTTGATCTGTAGCCATACATTTTGCACTGCAATTACTAGTTTAATCGTCCTTTAAGCCCCAATATTCAAATACAAACTCTCCAAACTGATCTCCGTAATTTTCGAAATAAATAAAAAAAATTAGTTGTGAGAATTTTTTTGAGTGGTCAAGGCATTTTCCCTTGGTGATCATTCTATTAATTCTTCCAGCCTTTTCTCTTAATTTTGTTTTGATATTACTGGGAAAAAGTTAATTTTGGATACTTTTGAGACTTAAGGTTAGTGGATTATTCTGTGAACTGTTGTTTAACTCCTTAAAAATGGAGTTGTCAGAAACGAAAAAGGGTACTCCGATGCGGTGGGTGATTCCCCTAAAAAAAAATTTTGTTTTCTACTAATTTAGTGGACGTGAGAGAAAGGAGCTTTCATCTATCATCGTTAACACTGAAAACCTCCTGTGAAGAAATAGGTATCTAATAAACAATTATTGGATGAGGTTTTCGTGATATCCGGAATAATGAAGGTCGAGGTAAGTGTCATCAGCCGAGCCGAAGGCCGAGGCTGATGGCACTTACCGAGACCTTGATCATTTAGGATATCACAAAAACCGAATCTAATAATTGTTTTATTATACATTGTTTTGAAGAAAATAACGACAAACACACTGTCACAAGGAATCTGAATTGTGGAAATCATGCATTGCGCGTGCAACCTACAAATTAGTTAGTTATCGATAACTAACTAATCTGTAGGTTGCGCTGAATTCCAAAATTAGTGTAGGTTCTTAACCAATGGGAAGAATGCCTAGACACGCAATGTGAGATTGAAGTTTTTGGCTTATCCGCGAGAGTTGGCCCATTACATTACCGCAGCCTGACTGAGTGTATTCTTTAAAATACAAATACTTACAATGATGATCTCATTCATTTGAATTTGAGAATGAAATCTCAAGTGTGGCAGTTGTGATAGTTGAAAGCTATTGCGCAGTACTTCAGCCGCAAAAGGTCGAAATGTGCCACTTTTTTACCCACTTTTAGACCTTTACATGACCCAGACTACTCCTTTGTTAACTATACCAATTCTCTAAATAAATGTCGAACCCTATAATGTTTTCAAGCCAAAACGCTTCGAAAGCTTTACCCACGTACATAAACGTAACACAAACAAGCCTATAAGTTTAAAGCGGACATCATTTACACAGATTTCCGTTTGCTCTTGGCCGCTCTGCACTCTACTTAAAAGTGAGACAGCCCCAAGACTACACCCTAGCCCGCAAAACGACATCCTGTTTTTATTTTGAGGTTCTAATTTTACTAGTTTAAACACTAAGCACACGTATCAACTCCTAGGTAAGGCCAGCACCTTGCGCATGCGCACAACCACACGCCTAAGGTACTATACTGGGCCTACCGCGGAGTTGGTACGTGCGCTTCAGTGCTTAAATTGGTACTGTTCTAATTTTTAAGTCTGCTATCCTCAATCACTAAGAAACCAAAAGTATTAAAATTTACGACGGATTTTCAGTGCCAGACAAGTTCAAAGTTCACCTTTTCCCTCCTCCAAAGAAAAAGATGACAAGACCGAAAGTAATCAGTTTAATGATATGAGAGATACCGAGGCTTGTCAGCTAATTGATAAGCTTTATCAAAACCTTCTAAAAGTGATCTTTAAAGATACAAAAGACCTCCCAAAGCATGTAAAATAGGCGTCGCTTTTCACAGTTTTTCTGTCGTTCTTGACCACTTGCCTTTCAGCAATATAATTACCAGTTAAGCCAGAGCATAAATGACTTAGAGACAGTCCTGTATTTAATTTCAGGTTCAAATGTGCAAACTTTGTTCTGCTGATTAACAAACAGACAAAAGAATTTCCCAACTGTATCGATGCTAAAAAAGCTTAAGTCCTGCTTAACAACCAACAGCAAAGAATCGAAATAGTTTAAGAGGTTCCGACGCACTGTGTTTATCACCGACGCATAAAGCGAAGGAGCAGTGCAGTTTAAGCAGATACAAAGAGATCTCTTAGGGCAAAGTGGACATCAGTTGATAAAGTTTTTCACTCATCGTCTACCAGTCATGCTCTGCTCCATAAAAGACTGTTCTGTATTTATTTCATCTTTTAATCAAGCTTTGTATTGAGCTGTCAGTTGTCAAATTGACAGATGTTTTTTCTAACTGGTTCAATAGAAAGTAAAACCTACTGAATTATTAAAGTGCTCATGGTCATTAAAAAAATGAAGAAAAAAGGGCCTGAGGTAATAATTAGGTAGACTAATGGACAGGTTCGACTTATAGATATTTCCGGCAACAACAATTTGCCGTTTGTTCCCTTAGATTGTCTGGAAAAAATAGGACATGTTTACGGCACGTTAGTGAAAGTCATTTTCCAATAGTCCGTGATCAATTGCTGTTAATTTTGTTAACATTTGGGGAAAAACACATAAAAAAGGATTTCCCGTATTTAATTTCTGGTTTTAATCTAATAACTTGCTATTCAGCTCATTAAGAAATTGATATTGATAGATGTGTTTTCCAACTTGCTCTTTATACCTGCTCACCAATTATACACCCCACCCAAAATAAAAAAAAAGTACGAAAAAAGAAAAGAAAAAAGTAACTGTTCAATTTTCTGTTGTGATAAGTACTCGTTAAAGGGTTTTAAATGTACCGCGGACGAGGAGGAAACAAAGCTGAGGCCGTATTTCGTCTTATTTCTTTTTAGTATCCATCCTTGTTTACAACGTTTCCAACTGGTGCAAATGTAATCTCAACCAACCGCAGCTAATGGCCTCTGCCCTTGGCTAAGAGCCTAAACCAACTGACTGATACCAAATACATGTAGTATACTGCTAGCATTTGCTTCTCTTATATTTGCGCACGAATCATGCAATTTTGGCCGGCGGTACATGCATGAGGACCACGTGGCTTAGCTACTCGCACGTGCGACATCATAAGGTTCTTGACCTGTTTTTCTTTGAAAAATACTTTAGATTATAGATGGCGAGAGGATAATCCAATTTTGGAACTGATTTTAAACCCTTCATTTCAGTGGGGTAAGGTAGAAACCCTAATCACTTCGATATGAAAAGGCAGAGTCCGGAATCGCGTGATAAACGCCCGCCAAGAATGTTGAGAAGTTCCACGGCCACACCATTAGCAGAAACAATTCAATGATGATTTCTATAATTGCTCGGATAAACGTTCTCACTTCATTCATTACATGTCTGACGACAACAGGCAACATCGTACAGCAATACTTGACTCGCTGCTGTAATTGATTAACAAAGCCGGTAACTAAAGCATAGCAACGACACGGGTGTTCTTCCAGACTGCAAAGAAAAAAGAATCAACAGGAAACAAACAAAATTACACGCTGAAGCGATACTTTGTCTTATATTGTTGTGATGACTTGTAATAAGATCATAGAATTTTCTGGGGATGAATTTACACCTGTTTGAATAAAGGTTCTTAATGAAGGCCACGAGCCTCGGTTGAGCGAATGAGCAATCTCTTGTTCCTATGCATGGCAGGCGTAGTGGCCATCAAAGCTAATTCGTTTGGAACTGAGGGCGATTCGCTGTTACTTTTCAAGTAGAATTTCTTGAACGCCATCGCTCTGGAAGGATCGGGAGTGGTTATAAGGTGATGTTACACGGGACGATTCTCAAAGACGAGTTTAGTGCAACACAGCGTTGCGATGTTGGAACAGAGTTGTAACAATTCGAAACAATGTTGCAACACTGTGTTGTGCTAAAAATCATCGTTGCGAATCGTCTCGTGTAACATCACCAACAGGCTTCTAGCAAGGTATAAGAGTTTTGAGAAGTACCTATGTAGCATAAGGCCGGTTAATAAACAACGATTTCTACTTTACAAGCTTGGCATTGTGAAGGCGTGTTACTGTCAAGGGTATGGTTAGTCACTGGGAAAATAATTAATTTAGCAGCAACAAGCTTCTAATATAGAATAGAGCTACCAAAATACGTCGTAAAATACGAAGAGGGTTCATCTAAAATATACAGTTTTACCTAGCCCATTACCTCCCTCTGAGCTTATTACTAGTTTTGAATGACTAAGCACAAATGACCGGAATCATTTAAGCATAACATTATTGCGTGCTTCTCGTTCTCAAGTGATAAGGAAACCGTGCGAAATATGCATTTTTCATTCCAGGAGATAACAGGCTTTGTAACGTTTTTACTTTTTCGTACATATCGGTCACCTGTTCTTGCTGTTACACACAGTAATTGCGTCAAACGTGGTGCCTGGAGTATGTCCTTTGGCTTCATGCCCGCTGACCCTAAACGTATTACACTTAAACAAGTGTTAACAGATGTATTCATTAATCATGTGTTTTGTATTTCACAGGTCAACAGCATCGCATATAAACAGCGTGTTGGTCGGAAAAATCCTCAGATCCGTCGCTGGCACATTGCGAGAGGAATCGTACAATGGAAGAGCTTTACCAAACAGTTAAAGAACAAGTCAAGCCGGTCGAAGCAGTGGTAGAAGGCGTTATTCCCGCCTGGCTCAATGGATCCTTGCTACGAAATGGCCCGGCGATGTATGAGGTCGGTCCCCAGGCGTACAAGCATTGGTTTGATGGCTTGGGGATGATACAGAATTTCAAAGTGGAAAACGGAAAAGTGACGTACTGCAGTAGATACCTTAGAAGCGAAGCGTTCATTCAAGCCGAGGCTCGAAAAGGCATCGCATACGCGGAGTTTGGAACGCCAGTGCCACCGGACCCGTGCAAGAACATTTTCGCACGGTTCTTTTCTTATTTCGTGCCTCCAGAACGTACAGATAACTGCTCCGTCAGCGTTGTCTCAATGAATGGCCAGACCTATGCCAGCAGCGACTCTCCGTTCCTTATCAGCTTCGACCCTAGCAGTCTGCAGGCGCTCTCGGAGTACAATATAAGGAACGACTTCCCTGGTAAGACTGACTGAGAAATACCTTCCAGTTATTTCATAACTTACTGAGCAATCCAGTTTATGATTGATGAACCCAAGAATTCGAAGAGTTCATGGTCCCCTGTCAGAGTTAGAAAGTAAAAGTATAACAATTGGAGGTCAAAAATAGTATTTAAAATATTTTTGTTCCTGTGATTTCTCTCTTTTAATTGGTTTTTTCAGAAGCCCTCCGCAGGGTCATTCAAAGATTAAAATTGAAAGTGCAACGTTGACAACTTATAACCTTTTTCATACCCCTAGCGGAGTTGAATATTTTTAGGAAAAACAAAGAAACCCTATCATAAGTTCAACCTCCTAATGAACAGTAACGACCTCGCCATTTGTTTTTATATTTATAAAGATTTGACTTTCATTTTTCTAGCACCGCATTTCCCTGCCTCCATCTTTTCTCCTAACCCCTTTTTCAATTACTTCCTTTTTCTCGCTGCGTTTAGCTTTCACGTTCACCCGCTTACGGGTTTTCGGTTGCGTTTTAAAGCCGGTTTGCGGGCGACCTCATTCATAAAGGTAAATTAGTCAGCTTCAGAGAAAGAGCTTTCGGTGTTTTTTTAGATAGGACTGTGCCTTACGGTAACTAAATTCGGAACTGGTACTGACTTGTGCCATACCTTAGTAGAGTAGGATAACTTGGAATAAATGAATTCTATAAGGAAAAAAAATAATAGAACGGAATTCCTCTTGTCTGATATCCCGCCCTTAAATCTCTTGTAGATAGATATCTGTTTTAAAGAAACTGAAAATGGCAAGTGTTATCAAGGGAGTAAAGGTTTTTTTAACCTCTTGAGTACAATTTATCATTGTCATTTTTTAATCCCGGAAATTTGTTAAGTAGCATGATTTTATTCACGTCCTGGGTAACTTTTGTTCGATCTTCATTAATCAAGAAGGGTGGTGGCAAACAGATATGAGATGAGGCACCAGATTTGTATGATAAAAGAACCTTAAAGACCCTGCATGTATATGTATTAAGAAAAATCTGATTAAAACATAGGGCTTTTTCAAAATTAATAAGAAAGAAGCTTTCAATTAGTTTAAAAGATAAGATCAGATACATCACTTTTGAGTTCACACATCACAAACATCAACCTCGCGCTACTACAGTGAACAAAAGAACTGCAACAGCGATTTTCTAGAGAATTCACCTGTTTCGCTAAGTTGAAAAAGTTAAGTTCAAAGAGCTTGAAAAAAAAGAGTTTTTTGCTTTTGCATTCGCAGATTTATCGATTCAATTCTCAGCTTAATCTCAACACACAATATTTCACCATATATCTAAGCTGACAGCCCTCAAGCCAATTGAATTTTTCATGTCACTTAAAAGGCCTCTTCTCGCTTTACAGTTTAAGGCTATACTGAGAAGAGTAATTAGTAAAGTAGTTTCTGTCTGCACTCTCAAGGAAAATGTACGCTCGAGATGGGATAAACGCCTTAAATCTGACAGTTGGGATCCGATTGTAGATCGCTTAGGAATTTTGTTGGAGAACCAGTTTTGAAATTGGGTAGGGACATTACCTACTTTCATCAGAAATTGAAAGGGTGGAATTACATATCATTGTCTCTCCAATAAATGATCGCGCCGCTAGCCGCCTTTAACACTTTTTTATATTATTTCCCTGAAAGTAGTTGGATAGTTTTTTTGATGCGAAAGCCAATACTGCATGGCTCGTACCAAAGTAAATAAATATGTCTTACTGTGTAACTACTCAAATTGACATTTTTAGTGATACCTCTTTCGGTAAAGCTCTAGTCTTTCTTGATCTTGTAGTGAAAAGTTAAAATCTAGCCGTTTCATTTTCGATAGAACGCAGTTTTCTAACTGACTTGAAAAATTACACCTTAATGGATGGGGGTCAGTGATTGTGATTTAGAGATTGTTAGCTGGTTTCTATTTTTGTTCACGATCCCAAAAGCTGGAGAGCTTTATTTTTTTATCATGAGAAACCAAAGGCTGTCTGTCTGTCGGTCTATCTGTCTTTTCAAAACAAATCGCTTTTCTACCTTTTGACATGAAGCCTAGAGAAAGACCCCACTGTTCGCGCTTTTCCAATCTCCGTCGCGAGTTTTCATCCTCGCTTTAAGTGTCAAATGTAAGTAAATTTAACTAAAATTGAACTCTTGGGAGCCACACCTTTCGGTTGACCTTTGTTTAACAAAGAGAAAGTAAAATGGGGCGTTTTTTAGTTTAAATCCTCCGTTGGAGACCTCTGATAAGGATATTAAGCGTTGTGACCATGCAGTGAAGGCAAGCAAATGTACCAAAACGCGGAGGCTTCTCCTTATTTCCTGGGGATTTAATGTTTTTCTTATGAAAACTGTAGGTTTTTTGACGTTCTCGTTGTATTACAGTGAACGCCAACTTTTAGCTACACTTTCGCGAACGTGCATTAACATATTGGTCTTGACATTCAGCGATCATAAACGCAGCAAGTGCTGCGATCGAAAGTACCTCTCTGTAGATATATGCCACTACTATGCTCTTTTATTATAAACTGAATCATTGGATAATGTAATTCTAGGGCTCTTATTGGCGTAGCCATCATTGTATATGAGCCATTATACCATGCTCTCCAAATATGGTAACTGTTCGCGTCAGCTCAAAATTAAAAACAAGCTGAAAATCGGTTGTTTTTACAAATAAAGTCGGGGAGAATTCTCGATATTTTGTGGGCGTTTTTAACAAAACAATTATTCTTCTCGCGCTTGTTGGATATGAGATGATTATAGCCAACTCGGCGCATCTACCAACTCATATCCAACGCGCACTCGTGGAATAATTGTTAAATAACTTCAGCGGAGAAACAAAACAACATCAAACAAACACAGGCTAGACCCACAGCAAATTTTTTGCGTGAAGATTTTGTACAGAAGCAGCTTTAATTTTGCGTTTACATTTAAACACTTCTCATCTTAGGTGCGTATCGTCTGGTTTTAAAGGTCGAAGGCGAGGCCTTACAAAGCTCTTAAAGCTTATTTATTCACTGAAAGAATATACTTCTGCCTTCCGGTCTTCCACCCAGAGGGAAAATCCATTAACTCGTAGCCACAGTTTTAATCACGATAAAAAAGGTCCAAGGTTGTTGGCACAATTTTTCAACTAGATTACTTACCATCATCCAAGGTTCTTGTACTTGAGGAAGAAACGCTCAGATTTGTAGTGATCAATACAGTTAGAGATAATGGCATGATTTTAGCAAGATGGGGTACTTATTCAGCAGTTTTTTCAGTCATGCCAAAGGTTACAATCGTTTGACAGGTTGCGGCTAACCAAGCGTGCTTGCATGTATTCTTCTTATTCTTCTAAAATGGTCAATTTACTGTCTTGAATAACCTGTTAATGATTTCAAAATGAAGCGAATGAAGCAGGTGGGAATATAAGGACCTGCGTGCCGTTTCGCTTTCGACAGTCTCTCTTAGTGCTCTTCTCTAACCTTATGGGTCCACAAAAAACCTCAACGACAATAGCAACAAATTAAAAATCCAGTAATTATTTCTCTTTGCGAACTGAAATTCGATAATTCCGTTCTGAATGGTCAAGGGGAAAGTCTTTGCTTGTTTCTCCGGCTGACAGAAACATGGTAAAACAATTAAGACAAAGAAATTCAGTAATTGTTGTTTGTGGGTTATCTTTCACGGGAAAGTATTGAGTTTTTTCTTTAAACAATAGACTAAACAGTTGCCATTAATAATTTAGGGAAATATTTTAAGTGATTTTTGTTTGTCAAAGGAAACGATTGAATTTGATAACAAAACAGTAGGGATTGAACAGTGGGAACCGATTATTGTCTTTGTTTCATAAACATGATCATCCGGAAGAACTTAGCAAGAAAAATGATATAGAATCATTCGTTGTGACCTGCGTGATCACGAATTTAGTCTTCCGTGTACAGAGGTTATGACTGAAGACGCCTGAAATCCTGAATAGTCTGACTAAACCTCCGGTGATGAGCAAGTGAACAAGGGACGGAAATTCAGTGAACCACAATTACTCACAAATTTGAGTCGCGAAAATCTTGAAAATGAAAGCCACAAATGTGTCTAAAGTTTAGGAAGACCTTTCCTCTACCTCCGGCTACCCCCGGTTCCTGTTTTAATGAGTTTTACATAAAATACGACATACATTCCTCTTACTGATCAAACTATCATAGAGAGATTTCCTGTTCAGGTGTGTTGGTCAATGAATTCATCATAAATGAAAGACTAATGAAAACTGGACATACTTATTGGGAATTGTAGCGGAGATGAACAATTTTGACCTTTAAGGGAATATTAAACTATTCAATGGAATGAATATAATGAGAGGAAGCCCGCGTACTGATAAATTCATTAAAAGAACATCATTTTGAACTTAGTGTTAATTGGTTTAATGTTATCGGCTCGTTTGTGATATAAGAAAAGATCTTCTTTCCGGTTAACCCGCCGGCTACAGGAAGGCATGATCGTAGGCTTCTTTCGATTCCGGTCGAACAGATTACATTCTACCCTCTCACGTGCGGCATATTCACAAGCAATAACTACACTTCTGCCACTTTTACACATAAATTGTATGTCTCTCTCATCCGCAGCTCTAAACGTATATTAACGGCAACTTTGACATTGTTTAACAATATTTGCGTTTTGGCTTTGATCCTAAAGAAATAAAACACAGACTTTGTAAAAGGTTGATAACAGATTTTTATCTAAGGCAGGCGAACATGATGTGATTAAATAAATAATAAATTAAACAAACTAAAAGATAACATTTTTTAGTTCAAAAAGCGCGCATGCAAGAAAATTGTAAGAAATTAGCTATTCTTCCCGGCACCATAGTGTAGATGGGGGAAAAAACGTAACAGATCCGATAAAATCAGCCTGATTAGAGCGGCGACCTTATTTGATCGTTTAACAGGAAAAAGGGCTTTTATTGTACGATATTTTTAAAAATATTTTATGATAGTCATGTTCTTCCGAACGTCTACTCAAAAATGTGAAGTGGCGTTGAAATTCCTTTTTTTTCCTCCCTTCAAGAGACTTAAGAGTAGATTACGATGATAATAACTGATTAGCGGAGTGTTAAAAAATTTCACAAAGACAATACAGGTGTGAAATGATCTTCAGGAAACATTTTTTTTTAAGGTGGATGTTTGCCAAGTTATATAATCCTGTGTTTTAATAAAAATTTTTAGCCCACGAGACACTTGCCAAAACAAACCAAACATCTTAAGTGATAAAATTAATCCTACCCAGAGATTAGACTTAAAGTTTGTTGTTTTTATTCACTGATAACACATTTTGTTCATTTTCCCTTCCTTTTTCCTTCCCTCTTTTAGAATTCTAAAGCCACATCGATTTCAAAAAAAACAACAAACTCATTAAAAGAACTTTATACAAGGTTAAATGTCTCGGCGGGCTCGGTGGCTTTGTCCGAGTTGAGTACGAAAACGTGCTATAAAGTCTGTAAGACTGCGAGTTTCTTAAAAAATTTACACATTTAATTACGAGTTATTCTTATTTAAAATATTAATTAAAGAAATGAAAAGTTTTTTTAAAGCGTTTTGCACAGTCGTAATACGCACTTTATATAAATCTTAGAAACGGGCCGCGCTACATTTTACGTTAGTGGACAGACTCGCTTGCTCCTTTTCAGAAAACGAAATAAAGGAATCCATTGCTTTTGCATGTTACGTATTATGGAAGATGACACAAGTGCGTCATAGTAATGTACATTGAAACCCCTATTAAGGGACTCTCAATTAAGCGGACACCCTCTATCAAGCGGACACTAGGCCGGGTCCCGAAACTAACGTCTTATATTTTCCTTTATAACGAACCCCTATTCAGCGGACACCTTTATTAAGAGGACTCGGACACTAAAATAAATTGTATTTGGCTAATTGCTATTGTTAAAAACCTCTATCAAGCGGACACCGGACTGAATCAACAATAGTAGTATTGGATTACGTCCTTGAAATACGCACTGTAGTAGATTAATAAAAAAAAATTTAGCTGTTAAAAGTCCACCTAAAAGTCTTGCACTAAATAAGTACAGCACAGCTTCGTTGACAACATGGAACTTTATCACAGTTCAGAGAACCGTTGAATGTTAATCGTTAACAAACATTGCGCAATTTTTGCAAACCTCTAAAATGCGGACACACTCTATTAAGCGGATACTTGGGAAGGTCCCGAAGGTGTCCGTCCGTTTAATAGAGGTTTAAATGTACCTTTTACTTATCAGTTACCATGAACTCACGCAGTATGTAGACAGAAATTAAACGGAAATGACTGATGTCAGAAAAGAAGGGGCCGATAAGTGTACTTATGAAAACTCCATGATGATTGAACTTGGCACTTCAGATCAGACAAGTCTGTCGTTGTCTCTCACAATTTGAAGATTTTACGTGATAATTTTTAATTACACTGACAAAAGGAAAAAATGAATCGCCATGCTCCAATATTGTCTCAGATTCTGGAAAACATGTCCATGAAAAAGGTTTGAAGAGAAAAGTTTACCGCTCATACAATACACACCTCTTAGTGCAGGTTAACTCAATTGAAAAGAGCGAAAAATGGAACTAAATTATGCTAGTCTGGGTGAATTTCAGTGTCTAGGAAATAAACAGGGTTTGTACTCTTTTGATCCCTTCAAATTCCATGACTCCATGACTTTTCCCATGACCTTAGTTTTAGCTGCCACTTTGGAAATTTTCAAAACTATTCTTATTTTGGTGATAGTTTTTTTTCCTACAGATGTAATTCAGTTCAGAGGACACAACCTCTGGTGTCCACCAAAACGCACTTCATACGCGCTTTTTTATTACGTGTCTCTACCTTATTTTGTCCTAGCTTTGATATCTGCAGTAACTAATCTACCAAACATTACATCAAATTTTCCATGACTTTCCATGACCAACAATTGAATTCCATGACTTCCCAGGCCTGGAAAATGAAATTCTTAAATTTCATGACTTTCCAGGTTTTCCATGACCTGTACGAACCCTGAATAAAAGTGATTTTTTTAACGTTCTTTTTCACAATTTTTTTTCTAGTTTATTTGAAGCTTATCCTTTATTCTTAGTGTTCCTATTGTTAATCTTCCAGGCCCCGTGCGCATGTTCTCGATGACGCCGCACCCACACGAGGACGAAGAAGGTAACGTTTACAATGTGGCTGTGTCCCTCAAAAAAGGAACTCGATACAACATCACACGGGTACCACCTAGACCTCCCACGCCCAGAGACCAAGGAGAGCCTGCTCATCCGCTCCAAGACGTAAACATTGTGTCGACATTCGTCCCGAAAAACCGCCTCTGCTACTACCACAGTTTCGCCATGACGCCTAACTACTTTGTGTTCATCGAGAATCCGTTCATTGTAAATGTCTGGGCGCTGCTGACTATGAAAATAAAAGGAAGGTCGTTTCACGAGTGCATGCAGTGGGACAACAAACAACCTTCTCGGTTTTATGTGATCGAGCGCAAGACGGGTAAAGTGATCGCGCTTTATAAGACGGAGAACTTCTTCTCCTTCCATCACGTAAACGCTTACGAGACAGACACTGACATCATCATGGACGTGTGCTGTTACCCAGACGCGCGCATAGTGAACCAGTATTATCTGCACCACCTCCGTACCAAACCTGAACACGAGATCAGCAAGGGGTTTCCAGACGCCGCCTTACGCCGCTACCGGCTCCCCATCCCCACCGGCTCCACAGTGAAGAAAACCTGGCAGACGCTTCCCAAGTATTCGGATGGTCGCGACCACAAGACTTTGTATTATGGCGTGGAGCTTCCACAGATCAACTACCGGTTTGCTAATGGCAAACCCTACCGGTACATGTACGGGGTGGGACCACACAAGCAGGGTGACTTCCTGAATCAGCTGATTAAAGTGGATGTCCTTGGCAAGGAAGCGAAGAAATGGCATGAGCCGAACTGTTACCCGTCTGAACCTGTCTTTGTTGCCGCTCCTGGAGCTGAAGCTGAAGATAAAGGCGTGATCATTTCCTCTGTAGTGGGAGTTCGTGGTAGAAAGTCGTTCCTTCTAGTTCTCGATGCTTCCACGTTTCGTGAGGTGGCGCGTGCAACGGTGATGTGTCCCATGGCGCACTCGCTGCATGGTATGTTCAGACCAAGATCACCAGCTTTTCTTGGACAGTTGCGAAAAGCCTGGCCTGAGGCAAAATAGTCGCAAAATAGTCGAATCCGTTCTGTTTTGGAGTGTTGTCAGTGCATACGCCATCACATGCAAGTCTTTCTTTCGAGAACGAGAGTCAAACTGTATACGAACTGACTGACAAATTAAAGATGTACAAAGGCAATTTAGTATGAATTGATCAAGGTATTGGTTCTCAAAATTAGAATATTCTTCATTAAATCATTGGATTTTGTGTTTAAATTGCATGCTAGACGTTCGTATAACTTTTCGTTAAATTATACGGTCACTCTCTCCTTCATTCCGCCATAAAGGAGATCATTTTCTTGTTACCCAAAAATCTTGTTTATATAACATTAGTCGACATGAGCGTTTATTTCTTCTCCCAGCTCCCGCGACAGTCGCCGATTTGCTTAATCTAAGGCACACCCTCTCATACATGCGGAGACATATCCGAGAAAACTCCTATTATGGCCTTTTACTATTTATGTGCAGTCGCCATGATGGCGTACTTAGTTTATCTTGTAGCCTCTAGTCAAGAATAGGCACTAACTGCCACGTTGGTAGCAGGATGGTCGTGTGTGTGTGTTTTTTTTAACAGATATATTTTTGTATAAGATAAAAACCTCATCAACGAGTGACAAAAACAGACAAACAAACACTGACAAGGAATAAAACAGTTTTCTCTGCAGAGCCAAACTTACACTTCAGCTTTCTTCTCGAAAAAGAAGAGTTAGCTGTGTTCAAATTACAAACGAGTGTTTTTTCACGAAAGAGATGGGGAACGAAGATTTCGATGAAGTAATAAAAATTCTTGGCATGATGGCTAGAAGTGTTCAAAAGAAGAGATTCTATATCGTTAACGCATTTATTTTCCGAATGTTATATTTACTTACTCCTAGCCTGTCAACAGCCGCCCCTTCCTCCCTAGAGAAAAAAATAGCCTCTCACCCTTTTTATCAGGGGAAGGGGTTGTACACAGGCTAGTTATTTCCTAGATCGAAAAATATTTATCTTGGTGTTTCATGAGCATGCAATTTTCGTAACTTGGGAAACGGACGTCAATATCCTTGTGATTTTCTTGAGATGAACGCCTCGGATTGCTAAGGCACAAAGAAATTCATCTCACTGGGAATGAATATTCCACGACTTCAAGGTGCATGCGTTGGGCTACTGAAGCACTTTGTAGGAAAACCAAACTGGTTTAAGCTGAAGGCAGTCCTCGTAAATTGCTGCATCAGCCAGTAAGCGGAATTACACACGCGCGTTTCCGCTTGTCTCTATAAAATAAACACTAAATATTTTTCTCCAAACGTGAAGATGCAGGGCAAAAAAGGATTACAGGCAGATAGCGTTTATTTAAATTAAGTTTTCGCGTGTTAAGTTAATAAATTATATATCGATACATAGAGTGGGTTTTATCAGAGAGTGAGTATTTTCTTAAAAATCTGAAATCATTGCGAAGTGAAGTTTTTGTGAATGTAAAATACTTTTATAACAGATCAAGATTGTTTACTATAATTACAGTTGTCATCTATAGTTACATAATGTGTAACAAATTAATCGTGAGGTTTTCAGTTCCACAATAAAAAGTTATTGTCAAAGATTTGGTATATGTTGTCAATGTATCATTTTGAGTGATTTCCCCGTGGGTACTCCCTTATATAAGCCCTATACGTATGTACCGCCCCAAATGGGTAGGGTTTTCCAGTGGTTTTTGTGCCATTTCGGTGTGAAAACGGGTACAGAGTTAAGAGGCCAACAGTATGACAGCCGATGTGGAAAATGGTATTTTTGGGTCTGAAACAGGGTCAGGATTTGGAGAACCGGACCGTAAGCCCCATAAAGAATTCCCAAGAGAGCCCCACACCGGGAATAAATTTGTGTCCCGCAACCGTCTTTTAACTTTCAGCTTTTCTGATATATCGATTAGTGTATTTGACAATGAATACATCCTCCTTTTGGCATCATAGGAAGACAGGGGAAAACGGCCATCCTTTGCGACAGAGTACTACCGTAGCGAGAGAGACATCTTCGGAACGAGCTAGGGCGTTGATTAAATCATAGTTATTAGAGGAGACTGGTTACGAAAAGCGGCAAACATCAATGATAAAAACAACTCACGACGTCAAATACAACCTTCGTGGGACTTTCACGTGTTAAGCAACAAAAGACAACCGTTTAACAATGCCTTATTTAATTACGTTGCAAAAATAACCAGTTATGTTAGTTTTATTATCCTTAAGAAAACGACGTTGTGCACTTTCAAGTCCACAAAAACATATAACAAAGGAGTCTGACGGGTTTCATAACCATTCCACTTAATTAACTATGATTAAATATAATAGCAGACATTCCAACCCTCCCCCCCCCTCTCCTCCTCCGATTTGTCGCGTAGCCTCCTGCCTTCCCGATTTTTATTGAACTCTCCCGATTTATCATGAAATTCTGAAGACATGTGAAAACAAAGGGAAAAAATGACAATCTTATATATAAGGTATTTTTCGCGATCTCGTGGCATAAAAGCATTGCATATTACACTTTCCTCTCGTATAGTTTCTCATAAAATCAATGACCTTGAAATGATATCAAAAATGAAATGGCACCTGGGAGAACCTAAATTTGCAAACATTATCTGGGGGAGCATGCCTGCAGACCACCCTAAAGACTCGCGTTTTCGCAGCAAAAAGCTAGACTTCCCCACTCAGGTCCTTCAAAAGGGGTTGCATTGTCTGTATGGTCCCTAATAGTATTGAGTCAGCATTGCAAAGAATTTACTAATCGTACGTTTAACATGCGCACGAGAACACAACTAATGTTTTACAGCATTTCAAGCTCTTATTATAATACCGTAACCCGTATAAGTTCCGAGCGATAAAATGACCTAGTTTTTATCTGCCCTGTTCAATTCAGGAATCATGGACCCCTATCGAACGAAAAACATCAAGGCCGAAGTAAGCTTACCAAGTTTATCAATTGCGTTTTAAAAACCAAATGCTAGCCTGACAATTTTCAGTGGTGAATAGACTTAAGCCTACCTTATCCTTCAAGAAAATCCTGCCCGAGAAATTGTCGCCATTCGCAGCAACGTGCAAGAACTACTTTTAAATGAAAATTCTCCTTGCATGCTCAAGGCATGAAACAGGCTAACCAATCTTTCAAACACTTTGAAAGTTGTGATAAAGTTCATTATTCTTTGCCGTACTTTTCAACAAGTTTTACCCTTTCTTTTTATTCCTAGCTTGTTGTGCCAGTTTGGACAGTAAGACATGAGATTTCCCGCTCAAAAGACGCAGGTTGCCACACTATTTCCCGCTAAAACGCGCCTTTCAGTTTGATATGACATTTCACATTGGCTTAAATGAAGAAGAAACAAGATCGATGACGACCACACCTCACCCAAAAAACAACCGGGGAGCTTTCAGCTTTCTACCAGTCTAACATTCCGAAAATTTCAGGGGCCCATTTCTCGAAGTTCCCGGTAACATTTCGGGCCTGCATAGGTATTATTAAATTGATTGCGTGTATGTAAAAGGAGATCAAAGTTTCGAAATGATGCAATAAAACTATCAGTCGACGAAGTAAAATTGACGGTTTTGTGAGCTAGGAACTCTGCTAATATTGCTATTCAACAAGCTTTGATTTTAACATTTGCCTCCAGGCCTTTCGAAAAAAGGACGCCAGTTACGAAATGCACTTTCTTTTACCCAGGTTTAACACAGTTTCATTTGGTAAGCATTCCCTTCGATATTTTGGTCCCATTTTATGGAGTAAGCTGGACAAAAATGATAAAACGTGTAAATCATTAAGTGATTTTAGAAACCGAATGCGTAATAAGGATCTGACATCTCCTATTGATGACGGATGCAAAGGATGTCTTCTGTGTGATAGTTGATGTCTCATCGGAAATAATTTTGTTTAGGACTCAGCTTTAGTATTTTAGCTAACAATTTGTAACATATGGTATGGACTTTTTTTTATATTTTATTTTATCTACTTAATTATTGTATCTATTATATTTTAACTGTAGGTGTCCCCTATTAGTAGAGGGCCTGCCCCTCGGCTAGTTTTTCTTTCTTGACACATAAATAAAGTTTACTACTACTACTACTACTGGTCGCTATTGACATAGCTTCTGATAGCTTGCATTGCGGGCGTATTTTGGGCGGGCGAAAGCTGCTTGTTTATAACAACCCTCTCCCTCTGGCCCGCTCCCTTTGACTCGCCCAATTTCCTCCTATTTGTTGGAGTTTCAACACGGCGCTTTCGCGAGCAAAAACATTCGTGCGCTTGAAGAAGACGCCTGCACTGTACGTTACTATTGACAACAACATCTGAATTACAATAGAATTCTTCTCTAGTTTAATCTAATACCTTTGTTTTTGTCTGTTGAGGCTCAGTCCAAACAGACTTTTACACTTCAAATAAAACAAATAGAAAGAAAAGAAAAGAAAACTCTCAAAATCAAATAGTGTATATTAAAATGGTTTGCTTTTAAGAACGGTCTTGGGACCACTTGTGTGGTAAATGTTCGTTGATGATATGTTTATTTCATTCGATTGTTTCCTATAACGTACTATAAAAAGGTAAGATAGGAAAAGGCGCACACGAGCCAAAGGCCCACCTGGCCGGAGCTTATATACCGGTTTCCGTAGCACGAAGCAAGCCTAGGAGAATTGCTACTCCCCCCTGGACGGGATGCTACTCCATCGCAGGGTTACCCGGAACCCAGTAGTATTTCGCCTGTGGTAGCCATTTACACACCTGGGTGAAGAAAGACAAAGTGGAGTAAAGTTCCTTGTCTAAGGAATCAACGCGATGGGCGAGGCTTGAACCCCGGACCTCCAGATCCAGAGTTCGAGGTGTTAACCGCTCGGCCACGTACATGCCTTCACATATCGTACTATAAATAGTCCAAATAATAGCTAATACCTTTCAGAGGGGTTTAAGCTTAGCCATACTATCTCATTTCTACAATGAGGGTAAGTGATTCAGGTGCATCCTATATGAGTCCACCACCATTCTTATATGGACTTTATACCATGTTATACTTTCGGACTGGGCAAATCATATTGCTAATATACTATCAGGCGCGAGGCAAGAATTTTAGGCATACCCATTGCTTCTGCCTGGTATTCTTATTCCAAAAAGTCAGATACTGGATATATGATCCAGCGTTCGGTAGGTAGAGTCTGCTTTAGTACTTACTCTAGAATCAAAGGTAGTAAGTCAGTAACTAATAAGTTCAATAAACAAGAGTGATCATCTCCTGAAGATAGGAGTATTCTCTCTCGGTTAGGAATGTTTACCAGGTTGTTTTATGACATAATGTGGACTGATTGCGGAGAGACAGTTGATATCTGCTCTTTTTTCTCGAAACTACAAATTCTTTTTTAAGCCCGCATTCAAAATCAATTACTAATTGATGACATGTTAATGACATGTTAATGACTTCTTTCCTTGGGAAAACTGAAAAGGCGGGATCAGCTCCCGGGAGCGCATCGTTGAAATAGAGGACTGTTACCAAGTAACAGTAATTTATTCTCCCAATCTTTGAGGTGAGTTGAGATACATTTTCCCCGCGGCTTTCGTTTATTTGTTCCATGGTTTGGTTTTATTTTATTTTATTATTATTAAGAGGATAATGGTCGTCCTTATACCGGAGATGGAGGATTACCCGTCTCAGACGGTTGATCCGTCTTCAAAATCCGTTTTTGAAATAGACGGATAAACAGACGGATTTTTCGTTAAAAAATCAGTAACAGCAAATCGTTTTCACATTTTTCACATTCGACGGATTATCCAACGGATAACCTGTTTGAGATCGAGTCCCTGTATTAAAACCAGCCAATTATATATGCAAATTCTGGGGGCCATGAACACATATTGCTCTTTATAATTTGTTTCAAGTGAAGTCCTGTCTCCGATCTGAGGAAAACTGAATGGTCTTCATTCGGCGGTCATGATATATAGGATCAGCCAAACAAAGCCGATTGGAATGGTGGTGACCTAAAGGGATTAGAATATTTATCATTAAGCAAGGCAAAGTGAGTTATCGCTTTAGGTCGGCATTACCTTATTGAATTTTTCTATCCGCTGACTTTTTCAGGCGTTTACGTATGGAGTTGCGACAAAATTTTAATCTCGTCAAGATCTAGTGCTCGTTTGTTTCAATAGAAGCCAGTCTCCTAAAAGCGGCTTTGTCTTGCTAAACCGTTACAATACTAAAAGTACATAACAAGTACTTGTTCTAGCTCATCTGCCAGCACCTTTTTATGATATGAATTTTGTTTACAGAATTCTTTATGAAATTTTTGAAGTAGCTAGGAGGTTAACAATGCCCTTTTCAGCAGGTGGCTGGAATTTTGGCAGCCACGAGGTCAGCCTGTGTGTTAGCGAAAGCTAACTTATTCGCCTTCTTCAATAAATTGGCTTCGGTAAAAACCACTAAGTCTAGTTCAGGCAATATAATCATTGAAATAACACAGAATGTGACAAAACTCAGTTTTTAAGATAAATTATGGATCTAGTTAGGTTTATTTAATACCGAGCAATAATGCTTTTTGAAAACATGCTTGGCCAGAAGCCTAGGGAAGCGGTTTGTAACCTGCTCGAGTTAGTGCGGGCGCAGAAAACGATCGACTGGACTGGTAATCATATCTACAAGAAACCATTCGGAGCAAAAGCTCCTAGCTTAAAATACTGCCTTTGGCTAAGGACGGTAAGAAGTGGACGAAAGCTTAAAACGTAGGCCGGAATTTTTCAATTTTGACAGAAAATTATTCTAAAATTGTTTAATTTTCTCGCAAAGCTGGCAGGATAGCGGGAGCAACTTCGGCAGATCGAGAGGAGTGCACGCTGAGAGAAGAGAGAAGACGCTTTGATACTGACGTGTGCAGACGCTGAAATCCGCCAGCTACGCAGGTCAGATGGAGAATTAATTATATACATATGTCTTTTTATTTTTGACCAAAGGCCATTTTCTTCTTCATCAGCGAATAGGTACCTTCATAATGAATTAACGTATAAGAAATATAAGGTCTACAAGGTAGTTTAATTTGTACAAGAACTTAGGAGATCTTCTCATTTCTCGTTTCTCGTTATACTGCTTGCCGTTCGAGTGTAGTTCATTTATGGTGAAACTCTTGGCAGAGGCTCTATGCAGGGCCAAAAATCTTCGCCATACCAAAATTGCTGCTCTATTTATTTTCATTCTGGTGAGATAATCGTCACAGACATCAGTCAGTCTTTGTTCTTATCCAGCTGTTTAAATGCCCGCTCCAAGCTATTTGGGCGACGTGAAGAACAACAGGCGACACTGATTTCTGGATAAAATATTCGATGCGACTTTTCAGTCGATTCGCGCTCACGTTAGAAATTCTCTTCGGCAATTGCTGTGAGAGCAACACTTCGCTGACTCTTGAGAAAAGCTTCATTAGCTACAGATATTTTTTGTTTCCGATGATTATTTCATACCGAGTTTCTTTTGGTGCGCGTTCTTCAAGATGCAGACGGTTTCAAAATAGTTTGCTTGTAACGCCAATGGAGGAGCTTCATGATCAGCGAGAAATATAAGAGTTTTAGGCTGCGGGCTTGTAAAAACAGCAGGTGCAAAAAAAAAATAAAAAGAGATAAAATCCTCGCCAAAAATCCTTGAAATATCTATGCACGTCTCTTTCCCTCTGCAATGTTGAGATGTTATTGCAAAGTTACGTGGCTACAACAACATTCAGGGGCACCCAACGTCAATTTTCGGAAAATATCTGTTCGGAAGACGATTTGAGATCTAGAATTTTCGGAACATTTGTTGTAAAATTTCTGGCTTGCCTGCCTCTCCTAGGATTTTCGAACATCTAAAAAAGGGTAAAATTGCCCATTTTTAACGGATTTTTACCCTAAAAAGGTTACCTAGAGTTTTCAGGAGCCTTTTTTCTAGCTGAAATTTTCGAAGACGTAAGTTTTGATCCCTATAATTTTCGGATCAATAGACTTTCAGCTAGGAAATCCGAACGGATGAAAATTTTTTAGGGGATAAAAATATGCCTATATCTACCGTTTAAACACTAAAATACGTTTAACAAAGCTGTGTTTAAGTGTCGATTAAGTGGTTCTGAACTAGAAACGGAGGGGGGAAACGAAAGCGAGCAGAATTTTCCAAAGTGCTTCAAGGTTTTTAAGATTGTGATCTTAACTCGTAACTAGTGATAAAATATAAAAAAATTTGCACTTTTAGCTTTGTCGTATTTTAAAAATGTCTAGTATTAGCCATTTTAACAAGTTCGCAAAATGGCCCGGCAAATGAAAAAAAAAGATGATAAGAAAATGGGATTGATAAAACCCGTCTCACCATATGTGTATCTGTCCGGCGCGCAGGTTAGCTGCCGACGTATCTAATTCTTACTAAAACATCACCTTTCATCAGCGATTCTTTTCATTTGGTCAAACAAAAGCGTCCATCAGAGACTGATGTCTTCACTTTAAATTTCAACAGAAAACACTTCTCACGACCATCATGGTTAATGTACAGTGATTTTGGTATATGAATGATGAATATTCAGTTCTTGGAGAGCTATACAAAGTATCTATTTTGTATTTTTTTTCTCAGTTTTATTTCCATTCAAGGAAACCTCCCCGCTACGGCTGTGCTTCCGCCAGCGGTACAACTTTGGAGCACCTTAAAATCAGATAAATTAAGAATATTTCAGCATTACACTCGCTAAAATCATTAAAGTAACAAGTTTATCACCACACACCTGCCTGAGCTGACTGATGTGCAAGCGCCTCTTGATGGCAAAACATCAGATACAGCAGATAGCGAATAATACGGGTAAATTAATTGCTAACTCTGCAATAAATTTTTAAGTCCCCCCCCCCCCCCCCCCCAAAAGATAGCCTCGAATGAACGATTTTGAGTTGAGATCTACACGCTGTTTTATTATTTACTTGTCAATTTTTTTTCGCTACAAATGCATGACGGTAAGCTACTGTTATAATAAATTGACACGGTAAGCAAATGCATATGTTTCCTGACTAGCATGACAAATGTTTTCCTGACTGAGTGGTTGTAAGATGCTTATGTTTTAGCTTGCCGTCGCGACCATGCAGCCCGAGGTGGAGAATCGCTGATGTAGTCTAAAAAATTATCCTCTTCCTTCACTTTTTCATCTCAGTCACGGGCACGATTTTATTTTCATCTGCCTTTTTCAGCCCTTGATTTGAGAAAATTATTAGAAAAGACTTTAATAATAAGGAGATCCTACCGCGGTCTGGTTTGGTTTCATGTACTCTCAGTCAGTTTTATACCATAGTTCACAGTTTAGGCTTAGCTATAATCACTCAAGTATTCAACTTTTTGTTGTCGTAGATCTTTTTTTATTATTATCTGCTTCACTCCTTTTTCAATTCCTTTTGCGGTAACAGAAGTCATCTTTTTTGTTCTAGAGATTAACTGTGTTCCCGTAAAAGCCTTGGCGATCAATGAATCACTTTGATTGCTATATATAAAATCTGCATCACAAGGAAGACTGGCTTTTTCAGCGCGGGAAGAAAACAACACTTAAAGTCCAGCGATTGGGCGGCATTACAAACGATTTTTTAAAGCTTCCTTTCTAGGAAGGAAAAGAAAGCATCGCTATCACGACAGGTGAAAAAGGCGCCCTAAACGAACTGACCACATCACCTGCAAGGACATTTTTGAGTCGTGGTCGTTTCGCCCGAAAGTCGATTCGCTCGAAGTTGTTTCGCCCAGACGTAAGCTAACTCGCTCGATCACAAACAACACTCTACATCACGGCTTATCAGAGCTCTTTGTTTTAGTTAAGTTTTGGATTCTATTATTGCGATTGCTATAAACGTTCCAGCGATCTGGACGACCTTAGCGATCTCGATAATCACATTCCAGATACTAAAAGACTCTACATAAAAACTGGCTGAAGTCAACATCACTGAACGTGTACCGCCGAAATCTCAACGATCGCTACGTCTATCTTTGGTATATTTTACGTGAAGTTTTCACTGGATAAAGTTGTTGATCCACATTTGCAGTAACTGCCTTATCACGATTATTTCTTTTTTCAGGCTAAAGAACGACAAATAAACATGGGGCGAATCTACTCACGTTTGGGCGAAACAACTTCGGGGTGAATCGACTTTCGGGCGAAACGACTTGTTACGTTTCATTCAGAGCCGGACCGGACGCAACTGAAGGAGATACTACTCAACTATATTTGGCGTCAGTGAATTTAAAAATGGATTAAAATTAAAAGAAGCTGTTTGAGAAGCTGTGCCCTTCTTTAAACGCGTTGCAGGGAACATAGATGGTTGTAAACACTGATAAACAATGGCGTTCTTGCCTTAAGTGTATTCCTTGATTGAACTCAGTAATTTGCATAAAATAAGCTTTTCACTTATGCACCTGCCGGTAGAAATGATAACAAATGTGAGTTTAAAACAAAGAGGCCTGCTAGAAAATTACAATTATATGGCTCTACGGCGAGATAAATGTGTCTTCATAATCATTTGTTTTTCATTTCTTTACAGAACCCGTCGTATTACGAGCGTCTTTTGGGAGCTAGCTTGACCAGTTAAGACGAGGGGTAGTTCATTGCGCAGTGGACGGAAGAAAGAGCTTGTAGCAAAAGCGAAAGTAACCATGCAGCAGCATTACGAACAGTGGGTCGCTACCACGGCGTTTGTGTCTCCTCTCTATATCCTGACTTTCGTCCTTGGTTCGCTTGGCAATGGAATGGTGATCTATTCGTATGCAACAGACCAGACGATTCACCGAACTTTTCACTTCCTAATCACAAACTTAGCGATCGCTGATCTCATCATGTGCCTGCTATTTACACCAATACTCTTCATCTACCGGGTGTACGCAAAAGCCGAGTTGATCAGCTACACGCCTGTTTGCGAGATAAGCCTATTCCTGTCGATGGTTAGTATTTCTATGATGTACTTTTTGTTTCCACTCTTGGCGTACCATCGCAAAGATGCCATGTTACGACCGCAGCAACCGAGGCTCAATCTGGCGCAAACGCGCCTGGTGGTGTTTTTCTTTTGGTTTCTGAGCACTTTCGCTGGTGGATTAATGATCTTGATGGCACGACGCGAATTTGGAAGCGGTGATCCTACCCCTAAACTTTATCGCTGTCTTCTCATCAATCAGAGCTTGGATCGGTACGCAAAAATCTTCCTCGGGTATTCTGCGACACTTTATGGCCTGTCTATCGCTGTAACTGCTGTTCTGTATCTGCACATATTCCGCACCCTTGGTACCAACATCGAAGGAGTCAACGGCTCAGCCGACGAGCGACACGTCACGAAGCTATGCTTTTGGGTTGCTATCGTGTACACCGCGTTCTGGACGCCATTTCTTCTCGTACAGCTAGGCGGCGTATTCGGTAATTACACAGAGCTTCATTTTAACCTACACGGCTGTTCCTCGGGTATAGGTGTCATTGGCTCGGCTGTGAATCCGCTGTTATACGCAATCATGCATCCGTACTATCGAGCTAAACTCCGGGACTTGTTCAATCGCCTGACTTGTCGCTCCGGGTGAATGTAGTATAAGAAAACGGCTACCAACATAAATAATCAGTTGTAGCATTTTTGTCCAAAAACGTGTGAAAGAGACAAGTCAAAGTAAACATTTCACGTCTTTTCCAAAAGCCGCGTTCGTAGAATAAGCTAAGAGGATGCTATGTCATCTCCTCTTCCTTTGAGTGATAGTTTTGCAGAGTCAAACTCCTAGTGATATAAAGACTGTAATACTAAGACTGTAGACCTTTTTTGTCTTCTTTATTATATTTAAAGAAAAAAAGGAATAGATTATTTTCGTGTTTTATTTTGGGTTAGTGAAAGGGGCTTGAACTTAGTTGATAAAATGTCAGTGGCAGTTTTTGGTGTTTTTCTCCATTTTAAGTTAGAATGAGAATGCTCATGAACGGGGCTAAAACAATGAGAACATTTGACAATTTCATTGAAGTGGTACCGAAAATAAAATAGACTTCTGAATTTCTTTTGTGTACATGAAGTATCTTCTCGAAGACTCACATCTCAGTGAAATTCACACTGATTTGGCGATAAGTTTATGAATCAAAAATTTGATTTTCTAATTCTAAAAATTTAGAAAAGGGGAAAGAGTCTGTTACTTTTTTGTAAATTCTTATGACTTTATGGAGTCACTCTTTTTTTTAAACAGTTTTGTAAAACTCGGGCCGGTGTGGAGAGGACAAATATTTCCTCTCGAACTCTTGGTCGCCATCAAATCATTTTCAAGTGACAAAAAAAAATTCCGTAACTAAGTTGATTTATTCAATGTGCGCTACTTTTGATTCCAAGGCGTGTATGTATCTAAATAAATTAGTTTGAATTATGAAAAAGCCATACCCAATAAGGGAAGTAAATCCGAGATTTCTATCATAAGATAATAACACCAAGTTTAGGCGTAAAACGTTCCTGTTGCCATATATCTATTTGAAAGAAGAAAGCGACCCACCCCAGGCATAAAATAATGATCGGTTCCCAGAGATGCGATAATTAACGACTTTGACGCGGGAACCGGTTAGTTCCTTGACTACCTTTGAATGCTTTTTAGCTCGAGGTTATTATGAACAACTTAGTACTATCTTGTCAGCTTAGATTTCGTCAGTGATACTGTGATCCCGCCTTGGTTTCTAGTGATCCCTCGCTACCTTTGTCCATTGTCTTCAGACTACGTCCGCTCTGAATGAACTCGAGTAGATCTGAGGAAAAAGCCAAAATAGCAAGTGCGTGATACTTATTTTGCAGTATCAGGGCCATATATACCGGCGTGGAAAAATGAGACGCGTCTTATGTAAAACGCAAGTGTTTTGTCTGAAATAAGACACGACTTAACTAAGACCTAACACAAGCTTATAGCTCTAGTGTTTTTATATTAAGTGTAGGGTATATATTTTTAAGAACCTCTCCACTTTAGTATATGGAGAGACTACCAAACACATCTCTCATTGAAAAAAGTAGACACCCACATTACCGTCGCCATATTTTTAGTATGTATCAACGAATGTTATAAATCACTGTTGTAAATAAATTATGATAATTCATGATAATAAATCATGACTCGTAGTACTTTTTTTCGAGTTCCTTATCTTTTTACTGTCCGAGCACCATCTCCAACAGAATGTGACACTTGAATAACTTGCCTCTAAGCGTAAAAAAGAATAAACCGATGAGTTTAGTACCTCAAAGAAGTTTTACTATTCTGCGGCAAGAATGTTGCCCCAAATTCAGTTCACGAGTTTACCCTGAGCTTAGCCTGGAAATATTTTCATTGCAGATTTACCAAGAATCAGGGATGGAAGCAATAGAGGGTTTATCCAGGGGAGTGATGAAATGATGTCCATCCATCACTTCTCATCCTGAAAAGGATTTAAATGGTTAGAAAATTTCCCCTTTTAGAAAGCCTATTATACAAATCTGTTGAGTACGTGGAACTTGCAGAATTTTTTTCCCGTGCTTTCATGTGCGCTTAATACACCCCGCGAAAGAGGATGGGGACGAATCAGGACACAAGCCTATAATACGAGCTGTTTACGTCCTATTTTGAATTTACGTTTGTACTTTTATGGTCTTAAAAATGGTACAGTTCGCGTCTCATTTTATGTCTTCTCTTTTATTGGAGGGTGGGGTTGTTTATGTCAAGCGCGGGGTCAAGCGGTCTCTCAGAATAGAACAGCCATTGACACACGTGTTTATCAACGTGCATCTAGCTGAATAAAACCTTAGATGACGCGCCAGACAAAACTTCTAAAACTGACAAGGTAAAGCGTCTTTGATCTGAGTCAAATCCGTTTCAAAATAGAATGGTTACCGATCGATGAAAACATGGATAAATGATGAAAAGGCGGGGTTCGATGCAGTTGTTCGGCGCCTGCACGCAGGTAGCGGTATGCCACCCTGAGCAGCCGCGCGAGAGCTTTGCAAGCAATTTCAAAATGGCGACCTCCGGGCTTCGTTCTCTTCTGAAGTTAGGAGCAATAACAGGGCCACGGGTGTTTCTTAGAAGTAGGTGATAATTTCTACGATTCGATAAATCTTACTTTGCTTTAGTGGTTTAATGTTAGCTTAAACTTGAAGTGAAGTCTAGTAAGAGTCAGCTTCTAAAAGCGAAATAGACATGTTGTCATATACTATGGACTCCAATATAATTAAGCTTAACTTAAGCTTACTTCTTATTTTAGATCATCACAGTTGCTGCAAGTCTTCATTGGCTCCTGCAGCTTTCTTGCAAAAATCAAGAAGATATTCGACTGATGTTGCAGTCAAAGGTAATCACCGTTTGCTTTGTTTAAAAACTGACAGTACAGTACAACATGTGTACATTGGTTAATAATTACATAATACGGCTGCACATCACTTCACTTTTATTATCAAGTGTGACATTGGAAAACTGATATGATATAGCTCCCAACTTTTGCCTAGTCACATGAGCATAATTTTTGTATCCACATTTCCAGAATTTCCGCAAAAAATCCGATGACCTCAGATTTCAGAGCACTATGAAATTTCCGCCCACGATCTTTATAAAATTTCGGACTGCTAGATCCAGGACTTTTTTCGCTCGGCCAAACAAATGCGCACGCGTAGTTTGGTTCGCATTTCCAACATGGCGGACGCCGATATCAGTTTTTCGCGTATTGATATAGAGGACTTTGAATTTATACCGCTGCACGAGTACATGTCTGATAATCGAAAAGTTTCCAGGAAGAAACACATTTTGAACTATAGGCAAGAGCAGTTATTTGTCCCAGAAGGACACTGTTCGTGCGTTTTATGGGAGACAACTTCAATAGTGGAGGGACAGGATGAGCGGGAGAAGTTCGTGGGCATTGCGTTGTTCGGTGGTGCCCGACACACTGAGCCATCTACGTGGGAACTTGGAAATGCTCTCACTATCCTACAATGCTCTGTTTCCAAGGACGATGTTGAAGTGAAGAGCTGTGTGGTGATTACTGCCGAGAAAATAAGGGGATCGACTCTATACCCTTTACAAGGGAGCACAATGGTAAATTTCTTAGACAAAGACAATGAGACTTCGAATAATGAGGAATATTTTATTTTTATGTGGGGGGGTCTTAACACAAAAACTATTACCTGCACTTCAGAACTTGTTGAACTCAAGGTATCAAAAACTGGGGAGCCAAAAAGGACTAGAACTGGGAGAAAGTGCACTAATGCAAGCAATGAAAAATGTAAAAGTCCTTCATTCAGTGTAGATGCAACTATTTTTGCTGGATTAGAAGCCAGAGTTTTGGGCCTTAGTCAAATAAATAAACAAACTGGAGCCATTCCATCTGCAAGGACTGGTCATTCACTCACTATGGTGTCTGACCATTATGCTGTGTTGTTTGGTGGGGTAGAAATGGAGCAAAGAGACAATGGAGTGTTCAAGCAGCAGACATGCAAAGATGGTGAATTGTATATTCTTGACTTGAGAAGAAAGAACTGGTCTTGTCTTGCTTCAACTAATGGTGGAAAATTACTGGCTCGTGCTTACCACACAGCACCTTTTGGGTCAACAAGTAACACTCTTTTCATAATTGGAGGGGTTCAGCTGCCTAACCCTGAAATAAACTCTGTACAGTACTGTAATGTGGGAAAAGTAACGACCATTAAGTTTGAATCCAATTTTACTAGCTTCACTCATGAAGTCATAGACATCACAGTTTCAACTCCTCTATTCTTGTCCTCACATGCTTCATGTCTGTCTGACAACATTGTTCATATCTTTGGTGGCTACCAATCTAAAGAAGAAATTACAACTGTAAAACCAGAAACAAGCAAAACAATGCTTGTGATTGATGTGGAACGTAGAGTGGCCATGAAAAAGGATGCCAGTGAGATCCATGCTACGGCAGGACTATCATTGATTAAACTCAGTAATTCTGCTTTCCTTATTTGTGGCGGGACAAACAAGGAGATACTATTGTTCACTAGCTTAATGCCAGCAGCAGATGCTTGTGATCTTAATGATAGGTGCATCATAAACACAACTGGTGTTACATTTCCAATTCCCTGGCTTAAATGTGATGGAATCTGTGAAAGATGGATTCATCAGGCCTGCAGTGGCATAACCATAATACCAAAAGATAAATATTTTTGTAAGGACTGTAAAAGAAGCAGGAGAGATTGAAGACACTGTTTTTATGAGGCATGGTTACAATACTGGAAAAATGTAAATCTCTGACTAGTTGTTATTATTATTTTACAACTTACCGTAATTTCTGGAAAGTTGTTTGTAAATTGGTTCAACTGCTCAACTGGATTTCGCTGGGCATGACATACAGTTATGTCCCATTTGATTACATAAACTACACTTGTATTTCCTCCTAGAAACATGACTAAGTTTTCTTAGTTTACGACTGCAGTACAGCCAATGAACTTTTAAGACATCTGTAACACTGTGTAAGGTGCTACCCTTTCTGGAATGATTCTTCCGTAAGTGTCTGAAAATTTTGTTTCCTGCCTCATTGCCCTCACCAGACAGTCCTCCCAGTGTATCATCTGTTTCAATAACTTCTTGTACATGTTCAATACACTTGTGAACATAGTTACTCCAGCATGCATAGGGATAATTGTTCAATAAAATGTTACCAAACTCTACAGCAACTTGCTTGTAATGATTCCATTCACTTGGATATTTCAGTTTTGGACTCCGACAGCTAAAAATTTTATGCATAAATTGAAGCTTAGATAGTAGCTCTGTGAAGTTGTTTTTCTTCTCCTCAGTGCCAAGAAGGAAAACTACTTTACTTTCATTTTTTGGATCAAAAAGAATTCTTGCATAGTTTCCTGCCATCATTAAGCATGGATTAATTCCAATTGTTGCTTTGAAGTGTTGATCTACCTTATGAGAGGCATTTTTGAATCAAGTGCTTTACATCTGCAGACTCCTCCCACTGGTTAACCCCAGCTACCTCCCTGATAAGTAATTTGTATACAAATTTCCCTAAATTGATCTTAGCATGTGTTGCATCCACCTTGTGCTCAGAATGTTCAATGTTAAGAATGGGGTGGGTTTTTACTCCCTTAGCAACTGCAGATAACTGTGAAGGATTCAGTTTATCAGGATTAAAATGTAGCAAGTCTGCTATTTGCTTGGTCTCCTCAAGTTTTCTAGAGATAACAAAGGTTCCAATATCAGACTTTGCAGTTTTCTGTGTTGCATAGCACAAGTCACATAGGTATGATGACCCAGCACCCTGTAACCCTCCATCAGCTCGTGTTCGCTTCTCATCCACCATGGAATTAACAAATCGCAAAGAAAAGTTCCTCCATATGCTTCCTATTTGTATTCTCATTATGCTTTTTGACATCTCCTGGCGCTCTGCTTCAACAGGGGCAACACATACAACCATTGCAGCTGTTTGATTTTCGTCACAGATTGACTCTATTAGACACCTGTTAGTCCGAACAGACCCTGGGGCCTCCTCCTCCCATATTGTTTTCATTTCTCCTCCATCTTCCATTTTTACATTCATTATACAAAATGCATACCTGAATGCCTTGTCAGAGAGACAACGATCCCCCTTTTCCTTGTACTGCGAGACATCTCCAAGCCCATCGCCACCATCCTTAATAAGTGCATGTAGGATAATGTCATTTGGCACCTCTGAGAGTTCCTCATTAAGTTCAGAAAGAGCTTTCGCAACAGCATCTTTATAACTCCAGCGAACACCAACAACATTAGGGGTTGGAAAATTTGGCAAACTATCTCGGAAGTCAGACATGAGGTTTATTGGTTCTTGCACACACTCTTTGTGTGAGTAAATAACTTTGTCACCATCCAGAAGTTCATAATTGACATATGATGGCAGGTAAGTTTTCTCAACACTGTCCACTTGGTTTGGGGGCTTAAATACATATTGACCTTTGGAATTCAAGTAGTCAAACTGTTCCCTATATTGATTTTTTGTTTGAAGCAAGTCAACTCTGCTGGCAAGGCATTCATCAGCAGTAAGAATATAATCTGTCTGTTGCACCCATAAATATTCTATTTTGTTTGCAAGCTCCTTCTTGCCATTATCATACAGTGTAGTTGCAAGCATTGAAAACAGAACATCCTCAGTGTTTTCATTATTTAAGTCACAAAATTCATCAAGCATCGAAAACATTGGTAACAGTCGTCTGCGCTTGGCGTACTGACGAGAGATGTCATACAGTTTTACTTTATTGTAGGGCCCCCTTTTCTTATGTTTTATGTGAGAAAACTTACAGTGAGCCTCATGTTCAGTCAGTAGTGAAGCCTTTGTTACTTCAGTACATCCATTGCAAGAATATTTACATTTCACTGTGAGCAACTCAAAAACTTCAAGCATTTGTTTCTTCAAAGGAGAAATGTCTTCTAAGTCAGTGACTTGCCTGCAGGAGGGGCAAACACCACTAAAAGTCAGCCACTGCCTTATGCAAGGTTCACAAAATACATGGCGACACCCAGCAAGAATCACTGCATTAGATGGAACGTCCAGACACACAGTACACTGGAAAATTTGCGCAAAATCTCTTTCAACAAATCTGTCTAAGTGAATGCCAGTTAGTTCGACATTGTTTAAACTCTTAGTGTCTGTTCTTGGTTCATGATCAATGACAGTCTTTTGTGAACTTGATGAAGGCCCTGCTTCAGAAGGTCTAACTTCAAATAGCTGTTTTCTAGCTTTATTTCCCTCTGATATGCTCTTGTTTTCCTCCAAAGCTACCCCCAACCTCTTCCTGGGACTCTTTCTTTGTGAGTGGGAGCATATGTAGCAAGTTCCTTCGCTTACAAGATATTCATTATGTGTTTTAAAAACGCAATATTTACCTTGATCACCGGGAAACTTTGGATGATTTTTGTTCTTACTTTTTTTAAACCTTTGTATTTTTGCAACACAGCGACGGCACAAAAATGGTGGATGAATGAATGAATTGTCCGAAGCAATATCCAGGTTGTCAATCTCAAGAATTTCCTTTGCAAATTTAGCAGCAGGTTGAGGATTGTGTCTGTCATTTGAATTTTGATCAAAAGGATTTCCACATCTTCGACAAAATAACTTGATTCTCTCTTTA